CTTTGTGATTTTTGCCAAGCAGTTACAGATAATTGAGTTTGCAGGAGATATATTAAGCATGTAGGGAGCATTCTTGCATAACCATTGATAGCTGAAACTGGAAAGTTCTCTCTTAAGCATAAAAAGATGCCCAAGATACAAACATAAAATAAAAAAGTAGTATTTGTTTTCACCTTAACTGAGAATTCAAGCCAACAGTTGGAACAGAACAGCAAGACAATGCGAGGGCCTAGGCAGTGGGAAGGAAGCACTAGTTAAACTTCCAGCTCTTGCCATGTGCCTGGTCACATAATTGGCACCTATAACAATTAGCCTACAGCCCTTGCTAGAGGAAGCTATAGTAAGCAGAGGTGTCCACCTACAATTAAAGGTTTTGTTGGCTAATTTTCATTTTGATACTGAATCTAGGATTGATTATTTATCATGAAACTACTATCCAGTACTTCAGGAAAGAACAGAGGCCCACGGGAGGGACCATTTCACTTACCTCCAGACCAAAACACATCCTCCCTCTATGTTCTCTTGCATTAGCGGCTTGACCATTCCCTTCTTGTGCAACTGCATGTTCAGCAGCAGGGGAGACAACTGCCTTCCCCCAAACCTGGGGAGGAATAGGAGCTCGAGCCCTCCAGGCCCACAAGGATGGGACTCATCTCATTCTTTTGACAAGTGTCCTGAGAACGAGTTATTAAAACACACACACACTCACTCTCCTTTTGTTCACACATTTGTGAGTTAGCACATCAGAATGGACTACCAGATCAGACCCTTTGAACTTTAAATATTATTGCCTTTCATCTTTGAAATTCAATAGTATTAAAATAGAAGCTAAATTGCTCAGGCTGAGCAATGCTATACCCATCCATAAATATTCAAGGCAGGCATCCTTCTGTGATTAGGCATTTGTTAGTTGCTGAGGAAAGGTTCTTTGGTCACAGTATCAGATTTAACATGGGAGGCAAGTATCCAAATTCTTTTTGAACATGAGTTACTGATGGGAACTCTGCAAAATGTTCACATTTACCTTCCTCTTCTTCACGCAGTTGGAGTATCTCAGTACTATCTGACACAGCACAACACCCTCCAACATGAGAGATTACAAGTAGACATGCTATGATCTGGATTAGGTGGCCACCTTCTTCCCCATTTTATACATGCCCATGGTCCTGAACTGTGGCTTGAGGGTAAAAGACAGTAAGACAGGGACAGGTATTTTGTAATGTTGAGAAAGCTTTAAGCAGCAACCTACAACCTACGTTACCCAACATTTTCAAGATTATGATTCTGTCCTTTAAAGATACTACACACTTCAAACACTTTGAAAGTATAACAGAATGTCAAAGGAGAAGGAGTTTTGTAAAGCAGAAACAAATAGCAACGAGGCAAAGGACAGTAAAGTGCAGCTGACAAACAGGCATCTTACATCATGCAACTGAAGGGGGGTACAAATTAATTGCTCATTTACAATGGAAAATTGCAAGCAAGAGGGATGACTGATAACCCAGTGCTGCTTATCAGCCCCAGCCCTCCTTTCACAAGCTCCCGTTCATGCCAGCTCTATTTCCTGCAAGTTCTTCAGCAGTCCTTGGAATGGGAAAAAAGGCCACGCACAGACACAGGCAGCAGTTTCTCTTCTCATTCAACACTAAGCAGCAGCAAAGCAAAATAGCATATACTGGTTATAATGGTAGAATAGTTAATGCAGAAATATTTCTAAGTGTAGCCCAGAAAAGTAGCTGGAAAAACATTTTGATGCCAGCAAAAGGATGTTTCTGCAGCTTTTCTGATGTTGATCAGTTCCATCTCTCCAGGGAAAACCACAGAGTGTGTCTCAGATCTTATTTGGTCCAAGCGACCTGAAAGGTGCAGAATATTTTGTCTTCAGTAACTTGAAGCTTTTCAACTCTAAAATTCTGAATGCAATTAGCATGTGCTCATCATGCTCAAAATACCAGTGAGCTTCCAAAGGAATACTAGCCTCTAGGAGCTAGAAAAAAAAGAAAAGATGACCATTAAGGAGAGTTCTCACAGCCTTTTCTTCACTGATTATACAGGCCCTATTATAATCATGTTTCATATAATGACAATTAGGTCAAAATTAAGTTTGTCATTCCAGGACTGGCAAAAGGAGGAGGGCTCCTCGGAGCTGTGTGTTCCTGCCACGCTCTGCCACTGGGGTGAGCTCACATTCCCATCCCGATGCTTCAACTCTCTTCCCGGATCAGGCTGAGGCAGGAAGAGCCAGGATCAGGGGTAGCTACTACTGCAGGTCACTCTTCCTGTGCATCCCAGAAGATCCATGGGCTGCAGAGATTAAGCAACCTGAAATACAGGGGGAGGACACACACACACACAGGAGGAGCAGCACACACCAGAACAGGCAATGCTCTTTTACAAGCAGGTGCTGTAGCACAGGGGAATGGACCTAAAACCAGAATCTGAAGCTTTAAGAGGTTTAAAATACAGACATTAAGCAGAAGAAAGGAATCTCTCATTTAAAAAACAGAGTATTTTTGTTGGATTAAAAATGGTTTTGCTGCTTTGAATAAGAATAAAGCAAATATGAGAGAATTTAGAACAGAGTATTCTAGCTAAGGAGAAGCACTATTTTAGTGTATTAGTAAACTAAAAACAGCTTGCTTAAAATTATCATTACAATTTGCAAGAGAAACGCAATACTTAAGTTCCATGCATTATCCAAGAATAAAGTATGTGATTTTTCTCCCTCTCTTCAGTTTTCCTAGTGCTATGAAGTCACTATAAACTCTGGTAAACCACAGCCAACTTATCCAGCGGAGGTAACAAGAACACACCCTGCAGTAAGGTCTCCCCCTCAATACTGCTGCCGAGGGACAGGCGTCCAGCTCTTCTGCCTGCTACAGGTTTCAGATCAAGATGCGATGATAAGATTTGAGCAATGCCAATAATTATAATACTGCACAGTAGGCACATACAGGAAGAGACTCGGAACAGTGTGCAGAGCTGCCAGTGTCCAGAGCTGCACTTGAACACTGCAGAACCAGCTGCATTTACCATGGATAAAAGGTAGTATTTTCCTCATCTGAGAGTATCAGTAAAAAGTGAACCCCCATAAATACCAAAGGAAAGTAGAATATACAGTAAAACACCTATTCACATAAGTATATATTTACCTGGACAAATAGCACCAAAAAAGATCAGTGCTGCTAATACATGTGTATTATACAATGCAAATTGCCCTTTGAGGAGTTCAAAGGGAGCAAAATCCTCAGGAATGAATTCCACATCCTTAAAACCGTGCTTACACGCTCAGAGCCACTTGTAAGGCCTCTCTGCACTGCTTCAGCTTCCAAGACACCGGCTGGAAGAATTCAGACAGTTCCAGTGCACGATCAAGCTTCTGCCAGGAAGGTTCTCAGCTACGTTGCCTCCTATCAGGACTCTGTATGTTCCAGCATGTGATTACAGATTTAGACTAACAAGTAAACCAGCACCCCCAAGCCATTCTGATTTTTGATCCTCTACATCTTGAGGGATGGAAATGGAACACTCGGGAACCACCAGCAGTAAGATACTAGTATTGGAGAAGCTTAATATTGAGACACCAAAAAACAAAACCAGCAAGTTTGGGAAGCCAGGCAATCTAAAGACACCACCCCCCTCCCCAAACACCTACCTTTTTTGTAGGTGGGTAACAGGGAGGAAGAGGAACCGAAGGATGAGCATTTAGGTATTGGCTTACAATGAAAGACAAAACTCCCTCAAACTTAGGGCTTCCCGAATCATTCCATAAAGATTACTGAAACTTATTTAAATGTAAAAAATGTAAAAAGCTGTAACATGTCAGGGTAGTTCCTGAGTTCAGTAACCCAGCATGCAGAAGCTTCCCATGGCAACTCTCCTAGTACCAACCTTCAGCTTCTCACCACTGATCAAGGGCTATGACATACTCTAGTTCACATAGACTTATAATGAAGGAGCCAATTTGGGCATCTGTAAGTACAGGACTACTATGAAGGAAGAGCAAAACTAATACAAGCAATCAAGAAGAGAATCTAGAGCTTCAAAATATTCTAGAACATGCATAGAAGCTGTCAAGAAGTTGAAAGCAAGATTTTCAATTTAAAGTGAAAACTGTTAGATGTTACTTTAATATCTCCATGATTGAAATAAATTTAGAATTTACACTCTTGTATCCATTGTAGCTCACAGGGACAGCAAAAACAGTTTAAACCACTAATGGAATCATGCATAAAAGTCTTATTTAAATAGAGATTAGTATAAACCTTTTAAGAGTCCTAATTAGTGATTTCTGACCAACACAAATCTCACTCTTCCATTATTTAGAAATTTGAGAAGCATACTGAATTTATAAAGCAGTAGCATTTTAATAGAACAAAAGACATTTTATTTACATTATTTTTCAGAACAATATCAACGTTTCCACCATACCACTAATCAACAAAGGAACCACTCAAAAAAAAACATCTGACATTTACCTTTACTTGGTACCCTTACCAGTAGTGCAAGTAAATCATTTCAATATACACAGAGTGCTTGTGTCCCTAATTGTATTTGGTGGCAAAGAACAATATCCTGTGTTAATGTTACAGAATATTTCAGGAGACATTTGCAGGTTTTTCAAGTCCACCAATTGGTGTTTTGGGCTTTGTTTCTTTCAGGAGGAAATCCACCCTTTGTTTCAGGAGGATAAAAACATGTATAAGGAACTCCAAGTTTTTATAATCCAAACACTGTAGTGCCTTTTTTTTTTTTCTCCTCTCCTTTTAAGTAACAAAAGTTATATACACCAATTGCAATTTTCACTGCTCAATGCAAGTGGCATGCAAACAGTAAAAGAGACAGCACAGTGAAAAGCATTTTTTTAAATTATATATGGCATTATCAGGAGAGATGAAAAACATTACTTTAAAAAAGGCAAACTTTACACTGTGAGTGTCCTTTAAAAAAAACTAGCAGCACAAACCAGACATCCCTGTTGTATCTTGAGCTGCAATATATTACTTTGTTGTCCATGATTTTTGACTTCCAAGTTTTGCAAATGCAGACACATCAAGACTTTTACCACTGTTGCACTGTTCATATAAAGTCTGAAAGTTAATAAAAACAGAGGTATTCAGGCAAATAATTGCATCAAAGATTCAAGCTAAAACATAACAAATGTTGACACCTGAAATAACTCATCAGCTACCCCTAAACGTTTAAGTACACAGTTAGCATCTAATGTAGCATCTATAAAGAAAACATCTACCACCACTTAGCAACATGACCAAAGGCGTTAAGCTTTACAAGTTAAAGAACAAGCTGTAGCTTCCTGCATTTAATCAGATTTACTCTGATAACTTCTCTGATGCAGCAACATCAGTATGGAAGGCAAGAGGAATTGGTGTATATGGTGAAAGTCACACAAGAAAGTTGGGAAGAACAGTGGCCACAAACATGCCACAGCACAGCCTGGCAGTCTAGCATGCAGGGACAAATTCACACGTACAGATGCACTGACAAGTCAGCAGCTTCCAGGAAGAAGTGAAGCGGTCGCCCAAAAGCTCACACACCTCCCATAACGGCTTTGGTTATTTCTCAGTGTTGGCTCTCACATTAAATATGTGAATCTCAGTTTAAAAGCAAAGCTACACTGCAAGGACTGCATCAGAAAAGACATAGCAGCCATACAGATACCTCAGGAGGCCAAAGGAAACAAAAAGCTAAATCAGGATTTCTATCACCCTTTCCAACCTCTCCTACTGAGGAGAGGTTGCAATGCTTGCAAATGAAAGCACTGTAACTGTGGCATGTTCCCATAGCAGTAATTAAAACTAATGTATGTATCCCTACAGTGCTCACACCCAGGTATTTTAACCTGGATTTATTTTATGAGTATATTGTATTACCACACAGAATAAACAAGAAAGTTTACTTACCCTTGCAGCTCTAGAAATTGTGTTTGGAGAATTCAAACCAACAAGTTGGCCAAGGATACGCTTCATTTCCTCTGATGTTCCTTTTGCATTTGGGACACCTGCAGTTAGTTTATGATTATACAGAATTATTTTCATCTCTACTTAATAAGCAGTGCAGTATGCAAGACTTTTATAAAGTCTTTTAAATGAACAAATTCAGAATTAAAATCCAAAGTCTCTGAAACATGTACAGGTACCAACTCACAACTCCAGTAACTGGAGAATATATAGAATTATAATTCTATTTGAATTCTACAGAATTATAAGTACTAGTATAAACATACTTTTAAATAACGTACCTGTTTGAGAATGAGTTTGAATTTGAACATAGGGATGTACCAGCAACTCCGAAACAGATATTCTTTGCTTGGGGTTTCTTATTAAACAGCGCTGCAAAATAAAAGAAACAAAATGGTTTGCTAACAAACCAAGAATATTTGTAATTGTTGAAGTTAAGGGTATATATAAAGACCTACTGCTAGAGGAATACCACAAGTACCTTAGACCACTTAGAGACAAAACTCAAGGTAAAATATATAACTAAAAGCCTTCTTTAACAATTAAAGTTTGGTACTCTCTTTTAACACAACTACTTCAACACACTACTGGAAGAGGCAGAGACCAGAACCTGTGTATCATTTTATTCTGAATGATGCAGAAGTGACACAAACAGGTTGGATCTGCCAGGAGAGACTGCAAACTATGTGCTATAAATATCCTCAGATTTAATCACACTTGTACAGATGTAGCAAATTTGTAGAGAAGCTGCTGCAAAATTCAAATTGCACATAAAACATTTAGCAGGCTTATATATCATTTAGAAAAACCAAAGATAGAAGCAGTAGAATAAATTTCCTGCATTCTGATACAACCATATTTTTTTTCTGACTGATGGACTTGTACATTAACATCTCAGTCTTTGCAATCATCCCTTGCCATACAGAAAATATGAACAGCAATGCCCAACACCTCTTGATAAGGGAAATACCGGTTCATACTAACAACCAGAAGCCACAAGCATCTGTGCATTCTCAAACACTTAGCCCATACCAGACAACTGCTATACACTTGCTATGTGTTAGTAGAACTTCACCCTTGTCCAGAGGATGTCCCTGAATACATTGCCTTACCTCGAAGGCACTGATATCTGCCCTACTACTGCCCACATGACAATAATGCTCCAATATGCACTTTTAAAGAGATAACAGGCTAAAATTACCCAAAGAATGCATGCTACCATTAAGAATGCATGCTTAATACTTTGAACTTAAATACACCTTGGCCCATATTCCAACAGCTCTGTTCAAAAAGACCAGGCTAGTCTAATAGCAAAGCCCTTTCCAGGACAGGCAGAGAATACAGATGGAAGCGCAGTCTACACAGCTCTCAGCATGTTTTCTTAAAGCCAGGTTCAAACATTATCCTGCACTGCTCTCTCCAGGAGCAAGGACCATAGCCTGGGAGCAGACATACCCAGAGTCCTGCTGACCATGAGGTATAGTTAGTATCCTGATTTCTGGTTAGTTTAGTTGCTTTTCAGTCTAAAAGAGTAAACATGACAAGTGAACCTTCACTTGCAAAGGAAAGGACAGTACTGCTGTAACCACCTCCATGCACCTTTTCTTTTTTCCCCCTCTATAATCCTCTAGTCACCATATCCCATATACATAATGATTAGCCAACTACTTCAAAGATCACTGATGCAACTGCTATCATATTTATTCCAGTTGATGCTCCTATTCACACTAGTTCCACTTCTCTTCCCAGTATATGACCTGTATAATTCTGGAAGGGCCAATGAAGGGACAGGTAGGAAAGGGGAAAATCTTTACCTGTCTTGGAACTAAAGGCCACAAATAAGTGAATGGAGATGTTAAACCATGTTTCAACATTTAAGCCTAGTGGAACAGGTAACAACAAGGTCTAGACATCTATCTTGCCTAAAAGATGCTTGGTTAAGAGTTAACACTTTCATTTTTTTTGTACCTTCCAGATGTGTAGCCACAGCTGTATACAGCTGTGTATTGCATGCACCACTTTGGAAAGACTGAATGATGCATTCAGTTACCTAACACACCTCAAGATGCTGACAGAGCTGCAGTAGAGTGCACCTCTGCATGCACCCGAGCCGCAGCCAGAGGAGCCCATCTGAGCGAAGCCCCCAGCAGAGGGGATGTGCACATTTGAAAGGCAAGGCAGTTAATCTTCTGGATTTCAGTTTGTGTTCCCTGCTCAGCAGCACAGTCAGCCAGTTTAAGGCCCTTGAGAAAGGGTATCGGCCAAGTTTCAACTGCAGGCAATTACACAGGATGAGAAAGGCACAGAGTACAAGGTCTGCTTTACTTTCTTTGGGTTACTCTGCCAAAGCAGTTAAGCCACATGGTTCTAAGCATTTACCTGCTTACTTGCTAATCAAATGAAAACAGACTTTATTAGGGAGAATATAAGATGTAACTCCAGCTTCAGTAAATCTTGTTTTAGAATAAGTCCTGTTCCTACAAGCAAAAGGGGACACTCATTGGGGAACTACAACTGCAACTCATTTACTCATGTCCAAAAAAATATGGCTTAAAGAGTTTAATCAAAATTAATCTTGAGATAGTTACCTTTAGCACATCTTGAAGATCTTTCTCAGCAATATCTGGAAATTCTATTTCGTAGCTAGGATCAATAATAGCATGCAGTTTATTGATTGAATTTGTTATATGTTGAAAGGGAGTCCTTCCATATGTCATACAATACAAAATGCATCCCAGTGACCACACATCACTTTTTGGACTTATCTGTACAAAAACAAAACAAACAAAGATTACTCCTCACTTACAGAGGTATCCTTCAGCCAACAGCTGTTATTTAACTATACAATCATTTCACTTAATCTATTTTACACTGGATAATATATCTTAATAACACATGAAGGCCAAGATGGTACGGCACTATCAACTTAATACCATAATGCAGTTTCTTTAAATAATACATTAATTTTTAATAATGAATTAAATTGATAAACAGCTAACTTTAAGGTAGGCTTCAACAGGTTGAACCACAACATTAAGTGTATGGATAAATACTGAATCAATTCAGCCCAAAAACCACAAAGGTACAATTAGTTCAAAAATTAATACAAGTTAATGAAGGCCATAACACCACCACAGTGAACTTGTTTTGCAAAAAGACTGATGCCTGCAGCGCTGGAACGCTGCTGCCCGTTTCAGCTGGAGGACGCGCTCACCGCCAGCAGCTCTCAGCTGCTCTCCTGGCAGGGCAGGAGCCTCATGAAGGTACCTGAGCAGCGAGCTGGGTATGTGCCAGGATGGGGAAACCACAGCTCAAGCTCCTCGAGCTTTAAGTGATTCACCTGCACTTTCCAACCACCTCTGGCCTTTCTCTGCAGGAGGACTTTCCACACATGCTATTGAAGCTGAAGAACTAAGAATGAATGTAAGATTTGGGGAGGAAAAAGAAAGGGAGATCGCCTCTAAAAAATACAGTCAGACTTTCATTAGTACAGGCAGAGCTCCAGAAAAGTCCATACTTGTTGTGCAGTATATAAAACTTTGAAGGTAAAAATAGTAAGGAAAAAGTATCTTTAAATACAAATCCATTTACATAAGTCAGAAATATTCTGTTCTAGATTTTAAAAGATGAGAGATTGTTCAATTGTTAAAAAAAGTCACAATCCTACATTACCTACCTCTTAAATCAATTTTATGACTGTCAATGCAAAATTGATTTCCTTCAGTACTTACTCTTCATTCACATTCCTTTGTTCACACATCCTCAGCAAAGTCATAATGAAAGAGGACAAGATACAGATCTCCACACTACTGGAAAAAAAAAGTCTACGGGATGCATAGAACTACGTCCTCCTAAAAGCTAGATTATTATGTTGTCTTTTAAAATACCTTCCTGGGAATCACTCATTTCCTGTAAAATCTGCCTTTCACTTAGAGGATTCAAAATGACAATAACACTGTCATATCTTATTGTTTAAGCAGCCAACACTGCTTTGTGACAGAAAGCAGGTTTCTTCAGCAGTTAAGGAAAAATGCAGCAAAAAAGCACCTGTGTAGACATCAGCATTAGCGTGAGAGCTCCACCTTTTTGGCAGAAAGACAAAACAAAAGAACATGAGCAGCACAACAGGAAATGAAGCAGCTGAATGATTTTCTAGTAGCAAATTCTGGAAGGATGTCAGAAACGAGCCCTCTAGCCTGATGTTATTTCACTGGAAAGAAGGATTCCTCAGACATACACAGCTTGGTTCGTCACTGACAGGCCAAGAAGAGTTTTGTAACTTTAGCCAAAGAAGAGACTACGGTGGGTGAAGGGCTGCATCCTCATCCCTCTATAGACCATGAGGGAGAGAAACAGGACTTCCTTTCTGGAGTGAGCTTGTTTAAGAAACAGAACACAGAACCTTGTATCAACCGAGCTGTTGACTTTATTCCCCACAATTTGCATTCACACCAATCATCAGATTTAGATCTGAAAGCTCAGAACCAGTTTCTGATACCTGTCTTCCAATACCACTTTTTTCCCCTCCAAAGCAATTAATTACCAGAATTCAGAGGAAATGCCGAATTTTTCACAGACTGCACTAGCTGTAGTTTCCTGAGGAACCATAGTGTTTTTGCCAGAAGTCTGGCAGCACAACTTGGGGAAGGAGCAGAGAATCATGTTTTATGTACACATGAGCATAGGCAGGAGATATAGGTAGGTGGCAGAACTACAGCCACACATTAAAGAAATAATAAATTTCTATTAACACTTATTAAAATAAATTCACATAGAAAATTTAAGTAGGTAAAGTTTGTGTTATAGACAATGGTTCTCCCTAAAACCTCTTTAAAAAAGAGAAAGGAGATTTTTAGACTGGAAAAATCAAAGTGAAAGAAGCCTGGGGCGTTTGTACAAGACACTTTCAAAGTTTAAGATGAGTCAACAAAAGCAGTGCAGACACAGGACTAAGCCCAAGATAAAGCCAGAGACCTGGGGTGGAAAGCACCTGCAGCCAGAGGGATTACAGAAGAAATGAGAAGGGCTGCTTTTAAAGATACAGCAAAGCCTCTTGCCTCTAACCACCACTAGCAGCAACCTCCCTGAACAAAGTGTGCAGTGAAACAGAAACCTGAACCTCAGGATGCAAAGTGACACTACAGATACTTTGTTGCTATTCATTGCCATTCACACTGATGACATTGTAAAAGACTTACATTGCTCAGTGAAAATTCATTTTAAATTACATGCATAGTCTAGGACTATTTGTGTCAGTTCCACCAGCCTCTGGAGCCTGTAACTACCTTTTTCCATTTTGTTAATTCAGCACTTCAGTTTTTCTAAGTACTGACTACATAATGCTTTTAGGTAGTTGAGAACAGCAAGAAATTCCTTGCCTGCATCCTCTGCCCACCATTATTCTAGGTACATTGGATTTTATCACATTCTAGTTTCAGTGGAAGATTTAAAAAAAAAAAAAAAAAAAAAAAAATCAAAATCAATGATGCCAAAATTACTTTAATATGAAGGAGAACAGGAGAACAAAAAGATCATACATTACCTTAGATCGAGATTTCCCATTTTCTCCATAGGAAGACATATCTTTTATTGCTTCTGGAGGCATGTAATTCATTGTGCCAACCTAGTTATAAGAGTGTAAATATATTCCATATTTAAATGAAGCATGATCTTTAACTTAGTTGAAAAGGAGTTAGTTACTGGTTTCAAAGCTCTGAAAAGCATCTTGGAAATGTGACTCTATTGAAGACTGAAAGCTACTGCTTTGGTTAGCAAAAAAACATCTAACAAATTCAGGAGTTGGATCTTAACCCCTAAGCTACCAATCCATATCTGATTAGAGGGGCAAAGTAAATAGACACTGGAGAGGAAAAGGGAAGATCGGGCAGAGTGGCTAAATGTTATCAGCCAAAGGAGATTAAGAAATTGTACATTTTATAGATATCTTAAGTCAAAAAACATTCAAGCATGGTCCCCAAATATTTTCTTTATGTACCAAAGTGAATATGCAAGAGCTTGTAAAGGAACTGTATTATAAGTAGAATACCTGATCGGCAGTAACTTCCAGCTATTCTCATCATTCACCATAAAACTCCAGTATTCCTTTTTAAGGCGCTAAACTAACCAACATAATTAATCAAATAGTACTATAAATCAAGCTACTTTAATAAAAAAAGCCAATCTTTCAAAAATATTTCACCTGAGAATCTTTAACAATGCTGGTCACATCTGGCTGCATTTGGTTTGCAATGCCAAAGTCAATCAGTTTTAACATTCCATCCACTATCAGAAAGTTTGCTGGTTTCAGATCACTGTGAATAATACCTTTAAAGCAAGAAGAGAAAAAAAAAGTATAAAGACAATCCAACTGACTTTGTTTAAAAAAAAAAAAAAAAAACACACAAAACACTCCACACACACACCACACACATGCACACACTCCCTTGCACTTGCACAAATCGAGGGTGAACATGAGCTATCAACTGCACCCTAGTTAAAAGCAAAATATTATTTGCAGGTTTCATTTAAAGATTGAAGTTATTTCCAATTCTTCCTAAACAGTTAAGACGTACCTGAGTTTATAGCAATCAAGTTTTACTTATTCAAACGTGGAAACAGCCTGACAGCTCCAAAAGACTTGAGCTGCACAATTCCTCCCAGCTACAGGTACAGCTATCTATGTGTATGAGGTATGTTCACAGCCAGAGGGTCAGCATTTTAGCTCCTGATCCTTTAAGTTTGCTTTCTGCTGGCATGGGCTGTCACTGTCCTTTAATGCCCCCATTTCTCACCCACAAGGAAGTGAAAAACCAGTAGTGTGCCATTTCACAAAGTTAACAGCTTAAATACAGTTGCAGAAATGAAGATAATCATGATGCTAGACAAGAAAACGCCAAAAAGCAGTGAGAAACGAGGAAGATGAAAAGCCAAGACCAGGACCCAGGGAGGAAGGGGAGAAGTTTGCCTCACATGATCTGCACACCCTCATAGCAGCTCCGGATTTAAAT